GGTCCGTCTGTGTGAGTTCTTTGGTGTCAGCTTGGTGTGTCCCTACCTTTACGTGTCATAAATGCTAAATGCTAACAGCGTGCTAATTTGCCACTGTTTAGAGATGCTTTAACGATAAACAATAGATGAAAGACGAAAGGAAGGTTTAACTTTGTGCTCTTTGATATAAATGGTGAACTACAAGTTAAGGGAAATTTGTATGATAACTTTCTGTAACACCAGGTTTGATAAAGTAGACCTTTACCATCTAAATGTGCGAGAATGAAATGCTCTCATACAGGGGTGTCCGCGGGGTCTTAAAAAGTATTAAAAGTTGATAAATCAATTTAGCGAAAATTAAAGTATTAAAAAGTATTAAACGGCATTTTCCAAGGTATTACATTTTGTAGCTTGTTTTCAATAAGTATATAAATTGTCCAAAGAGGTTGTATTCTACAGTTTGCCTGAATGTAATCATTGCGTAGGTGTGTAGTGTGATTCTGTGTAGTTTATTATGGCATCCCGTTGGATTTGACGTCATCTGAACAGGACATCGCACGCTCACTGCTTGATAGCGCGCGAAGGTCCGTTTACGCCGGTTGTTAAACAACATCGTTATGGGGAAATGCAAGTTTGCGTCCAAATGGTTGGAGATAAGGAGGAAGGACAATCAATACTGTATATAGTCAATGTGAGGTAAAGTGTGTCGCCAATGAAGATTCAACTATGATGAAGAGAACTCTGAACGTGAGTCAAGCTATAAGCTTGTTTTTTGACATGGAGGAGGAGGAGGAGCCTGTGATGTTGCCCTCTGTTGACAGAAACTGCTTTGAAGCGTGGCACAGATAAAGACAGAAAAAACTGATTTTTGTACATAATGTGTATATATATATATTTGTATTATATTTATAATAACACTTTTGCCTTATCAGAATGAAATCCAATGTACATTATTTAAGCTTTTAAATGTTTTGTTGTGCCTACTGTGTCACTGTTGACAGAACTTGAGAAATTAGGAAAAACGCCTATGGATACACTTGTTATTTGTTCATAAAATGTGTATATAGGTTCATGCTACCTCAATCAAACTTTCACATTATCATAGTGACATCCCATGTATACATTTCCAGCTTTCAAATAGTTTCGTTGTGCATGTTTGTGTTACCTATATAAAAAATAATATCATTTTCAAAATCCGTTTTAAATTTTTTTTGTGATTTTTGGGTCCAAAATGTTCATATAGTATCTCAAAATGAAAAAAAGAACTATCAGGTTATATAGGTGAGGTTGTCCTTAAAAAAAAGATACCAAACATTGACATGCCAAACATTTCTTAATGGGGTTTAGTAAGACAAATCAAAAGTATGCGAAAACGGCCAAATTAGCCCAGGACTCCAAAGGGTTAATGAAGACTTAAATAACCAGCTCCAGAATCACCAGCATTATGAAGAAGTGTATCAAAAGTAATGTTAACTGTAATTAGCTATTATTATTTTGGCAGGTTGAGTTTTAACTTCTTTGTATACAGTTAAGAAGTTTAATCTAGTGATTTCCATCCCATCCCCTGCAAAGAGTGCCCAGATTAAAACTGAGGAACACAAGATGATAAGATGTGGAGGAAATGAAAAATAATATCTTTCTCTTTTTAGAATACATCTAATATTTCCATTGAAACTTAATCGTTTTTCAAATGACGGCATCTCTGAAGGCTAGGGAGAAAAAGCTTCTAACCTCTTATTTTCAGTATTTAGTGTCTCTACTTTAAGAGTCCTCTCCTGCTGATGTTCAGGTGTATATCAGTATGTAGTGTCTCTACTTTAAAGAGTCCTCTCCTGCTGATGTTCAGGTGTATATCAGTATGTAGTTGTCTCTACTTTAAAGAGTCCTCTCCTGCCTGATGTTCAGGTGTATATCAGTATGTAGTGTCTCTACTTTAAAGAGTCCTCTCCCTGCTGATGTTCAGGTGTATATCAGTATGTAGTTGTCTCTACTTTAAAGAGTCCTCTCCTGCTGATGTTCAGGTGTATATCAGTATGTAGTGTCTCTACTTTAAAGAGTCCTCTCCTGCTGATGCTTCAGGAGACTTTATTTTTCTCATACTGCCTGTGCTGCAGCACCTCTTTTCACCCTCTGTCTGAAACCAGAGCCCAGTCTGCTCTGATTGGTTAGCTGGCCGGCTCTGTTGTGATTGGTTCAACCGCTTAGAGATGTCCCGCCCCTTAGCCTATCACGTTACAATGTGTTTGAGCGACAGCCAATAGAAGCGTGAGTGTTACCTAGTGAATGTTCCAGAAGTAAAGAAGGGAGTGAAGATGGAGGTGTTTTCAGGCAGGGAGGTAAGTGGGAGAGAAACCAATCTCTGAATTCTATCCTTTGCCGACCATTTACATGCCACCAAAACCTACTAGAGGAAAGGAAAACCAAAAAGCAGGATAGGGCCTCTTTAAACATTAGAGTACCAAAGAAATAAAAAAGAGCACACATCCCCAGCAGGCAGAAGAAACAGAAGAAGTCTCCATGGGTTGCTTTAATTTGGTGTCAAATGCTAAGACCCGTTAGCTTCAAGGGTCACTGCCCCCACATTTCCCTCCTCTCTCCCACCGCTGTGTGTTTTGTTATCCTTCCACTCACTGAGTCTCCACAGCCTCGCAGAAAAAGGGATTAGACATTTTTCTACTTTCTCTCTCTGTCTGATTTATGTTGCGAGCCACATTGGCGAGGTGTGGATTCTGCTCAGAGCCACAAGCGTCCTTATTAATCTCTCCCCCAGAAAGTGGAACGCTCAGCAGTCACCCAGAGGAGAAGCTCAAACCGTCATCTATCCTCCGACCAAACCCAGACGGCAATTTGTGAAACTGGCTGTTTACCCGGGAAACTTTATTTTTTTAAGTTATGACTGCCAAGCTCGTCTGAGAGAGCAGAGGCGGAGAGATGGTGTAATCCAGCTGGAATAAACACGTCAGTTTGGATGATTAAATTAATTTCTAGTTGGATTTTAAACAATTTGTGAGACGATTTGGTTATGAGTAAGCATCGAGGCTGCCAAAATCAAAACAGTGTCTCGTTTAAAATGCATGAGCCCTCGGTTTATGTTTTATCTTCCTCATTAGTTTGCTATAAAAATGTTTTGTTGACCCTTTTTTTTCCTAACTTTTCCCGAGCTCCCACTATATAAACTTCAATTTGCCATTTCAAGAATATATATTATTATATATATAAGTATGGGGCCTACCATCACACCCATGTTTTACCCATGTTAAATAAATATTTAGTCCTATGGTTTTGGAGGTTTTGACTTTTACTAAAATACACTTATAGTATTGTGGCATTGAGAGGAGGTGGATGTTGTGGTGCTGCACCACATTTCCATAAAACTGTAGAAATTGTAGTTGTGTCTCCCATTGTGAATCCCAGATATCTTTCATTCTACTTTTTGAGGAAAAACCTGTCAAGCGGGGCAAAATATGTCAAAGTGGGCTTGGATATCGAGTTAGAAAATTGGGAATCCAATATTTTCATTAAGATTTTGTCTGCTCTTTTTTTTGCAGAAGAACTTAATTTTGGTCTTTGTGTTTTGTAATGTTTAAAGAGGACATAATATGCTAATTTGCGGGTGTGTAAACCCCACTGTTTCACTGTAATACGAGACTACTAGTGCTACATGCAAGTAGCTAGGCTAATGCTAAGCTAGGTAATGATGATCAGTAAATACCTCGAAAACCGTTCTTGTAAAACAACGATGTCTGGTTTTCTATTCCTACACTTGTTGAATACTGAAGAGCTGTTTTGTGTTTTTGGAGGCTTTGGAGTTGTTTAGCTTAAGGTACCAGCTACATTTAAAGCTGAGTGAGCTGCTAATGTGACAAATAAGTTTAGCTGTTGAATAATGACTTAGTTATGTAATTACTTTTCAAAGTGTAATGAGAAACTGATAGCATTTTTCTTCCTGATTGCTTCCTGACAATAGTTCTCATCACTTTCTTTTTGCCAAACTCCTGAAATTAAGAATCAAGTGAAGTTAGACCATTTTGAAAGTACATTATCATTTACTACAGCTGCCCGACTAATGTCCTCACGACTCATTTGGATGTCATTTAAAGAACGATTATTTCTAATCTACCCTCTTTCATGGGAAGACTAGGGGTAGAGGAATGTGAGAATTTGGTGAGGGATATTGCCAAATATCTGGAAGAAACTACCAGAAACCTGCAGGTCCGCTGCAACTCTGACTACTTTTAATTGAACTATTCACATCTTACACTGCACTGTAACTTGTAATCATGTACCTGTGTTATTCATGTTTTATTATCTTTGCCTTTTAATGTTTCTAATGTGTTTTATGCTCTTAAAGGTCACCTATTATGCAAAATCCATGTCTCTTCTATACATCAACATGTGTCCCCTCTTCTTCATGTCTCTTCTACATCAACATGTGTCCCCTCTTCTTCATGTCTCTTCTACATCAACATGTGTCCCCTCTGTGTAAAGAGACTCTGAACGTTTCAGGAAAAAAGATTCTCTCTCTTTTTGTCCTGATCCATTTATATAAAAACCTGTCTGAAAATGAGCTGATCAGATTTTGGCCACTTGATGATGTCATAATGATGTTTTGGCTTGTGTAACCATTAGCCAATCATCAACCAAGGTAACCCCCCCCCCCCACCTTATCACCTGAATCTCCTCCTAGAGCACCATTGTGTTCTTTTTAACCAAATATCTCTCAGAGGGGCGTGGGGAGTGGCTCCTTATTTTCATCTAAAGTAACAGACAGAGAATCAGCACTTTTGAAACAGGGCTGAAACAGAGGGGATTATGGGATGCTGCAATGATCTGTTTGGTGTTTGGAGCCAAACACTTCAGAGACATGTTCTGTATATATCTAGAGACCTATAATAAATTGATTAAAAACAGTATAATAGGGGACCTTTAATGTCTTTCATTTGTGTAAAGCACTTTGAATTGCCTTGTGTTGAAAAGTGCTGTATAAATAAACTTGCCCTGTCTTGCCTTGCCTCTTTCAGTGGAGCTGAAATTCAACTTGGATCAATATGTGAACAAACGCTACCCGGGCCTGGTGAAGATCGTGAGGAACAGCAAACGGGAAGGTCTGATTCGAGCCAGGATTCACGGCTGGAACGCCGCCACGGCTCCTGTGGTCGGATTCTTTGATGCCCACGTCGAGTTCAACACCGGCTGGTAAGAAAAGGTCACGTTTAACACGAGGATGTCGGAGCTGCTCCTCTTGTCCTTTTCTCACCTTTTACCTTCTGTGCTTTGCTTGTCATGTTTCCACTACAGAAGGATGTCATGTCTGATTATTATCTTTTGAAATATGCAGTTTAGTCAGCCCCAAAGCACATCAACTCTCACTGACACAGCGTTTTACTGCATAATGACCAGTAGTGGAAGAAGTGTTCACATCCTTTACTTAAGGCAGAGTATGAATAGTACACTGTAGAAATATTCCATTACAAGTGAAAGTCCTGCATTGAGAATGTTACTATAAGTACAAATGAAGTAAGATATTTAAATCATCACATTTGAGGACGCTGGATCAATTAAATGTTTTAGGGCCTGTGTCCACATGGTGCCTTTTTCTAAACGCCAGCATCTTTTTAAAATTGATTCAAATGAGAACAGAGCGTCAGAAGTGAATCCTTCTGAAAAGGCACATTGACTTTTTTCTCTAGGACAAGGTTGAAAATATTACAACTTTTCAGAAAAGCGTCTGGCAACTTGGCAAGTCACTGTTATTAGAAAACCGTGTCTTTCAGACGGGAACTATCATAACAAAGACTAAAAGGTGTCTGTGGACACCGGATGTTGTTGCCGGTGAGTGTGTGACTTCTGTCATCCTCCTCTCCCGCTATAAGGCTGTCAGACCGAGAGGTAACAAACTCATTCATACAAAGTGTGACAGCAAGAAACTTCAGGTGAACAAAACATTGTGAAAACATATAGTTGCAAAAACAGATGATAAAATCCATGCCAGTCAGTGTTACAACGGTGGAAATAAGTAGTCTTTCTCAAAGAATACTATACACAATACACAAAATTGCCACCAATTAATGTACCAAAGCATGTTTTAGATGGTTAAATATAACGAGTAGTAGTTATTCATATGTTCTGTGTTTAGAAATCCGAATCTTTGAAGTAACTACGGTTTTATAATGAATGTATTGAAGTAAAAAGTAGAATATTTACCTTTGAATTGTAGTAGAAGTATACTCAAGTACCTCAACATTTGAACTTGAGTATGGTGCTACTTCCCACCACTGATAATGACCCTTATTATTAGTAAGGGTTTATCATTATTACGCTCTCCATCATCTCCTTTTGTACATTGTAATGTGAAAGTGATGTGTTTGGTTAGAGCTGAATAAAAGGACAGCCCAATTTAAATCACCTGTCCAGTAAACACACGCTGACAGAATGGAGAGGTGAGAGAGAGTATAATTAAAGAGGGAGCACACATTTTGAGCATTTCCACATAATCTCACCTGCAGGCTCGGGGCTTATTCTGCAATATGAAATGACTTCAGGGGGTCTCAGCCCAATGTCTGCCGGCTGCTCCGGTTTACCCACAAACAAGTCACTCAAACACATGTAATTGGCACCTAATTTGAGCATGTCAAATCAGTCAGGGTGTGAAGAAGAAGTGTAGCCTTTGTTCCCTGGGAAGCTGTCTGGGAGTCAGGAAGAGGAGGAGGAGGAGGGATGAAGAGGGTAGAAGAGGAGGGGAGCAGAGGTTTTTATTTTGTATTTTTATTACATTGTTGGAGGATCTCAGGTCCGAAGAATTTCATTGCCATTTCTACACTGTAGCTTTGTGCAGATGACAATCAAACCTTAGAATCTTGAATCCACACTGATGATAATTGATGCCCAGGTGGAGCCCTCATCTGTTTCCCATCTGCTCTAAAATAGACGTTCCTTTCATGCCCCCACAGAACCCGCTCACCTACCTATAGGTTTCCTCTTCCTCCGCACACACTTCCTTTGAGTTAGTTCACCTGCTGCCACCGTGTGAGTTTCACACACCTCTCTCTTCACACACCCGCCTCCATGCTCCTTTAATACGTATTCTTTTTTGCTTTTGAGGGAGGTTTTATTTACAGGAAGCAGAGGTGGGAGAAGTACTCAGATCTTGTACTTGAGTAAAAGTAGAAGTACTCATATCTTGTACTTGAGTAAAAGTAGAAGTAATCACATCTTGTACTTGAGTAAAAGTAGAAGTACTCAGATCTTGTACTTGAGGAATCAAATCAAATCAAATCAGGTTTTATTTATATAGCACATTTTAAAAACGATTTTTGGTCGAGCCAAAGTGCTGTACATGCAAATAAAAAACACATTACTGCGATCGCAAACAGAAGACAATACAAATATAAAAATCAAACACAGGGAAATGTCATGAGTCGTGCTCCGCTCTGACTAGAAGGCCAGTAAAAGTAGAAGTACTCAGATCTTGTACTTGAGTAAAAGTAGAAGTATCAGAGTGTAGGAATACTCTGTTACAGTAAAAGTCCTGCATTCAAAATGTTCCTCAAGTGAAAGTATAAAAGTATTATCATCAAAATAAAGTGAAAGTAGCGACAGTAAAAGTAGTCATTGTGCAGATTGGTCCATTTCAGAATAATATATATGATATGTTTTATAATGATTGATCATTAAAGTGTTCTCAAAGCTGGTAAAGGTGCAGCTAGTTTGAATGACTTTGTATACTGCAGGGTAGCTTGTGAATTTACTCCAGGTGGAACTAAAGTCTGATTTAACACTTGATTATATTTCACATCATTCATCCACATCTGTAAAGTAAACTAAAGGTATTAAATACATGTAGTGGAGTATAAGTTCATGATTTACCTCTGAATTGTAATAAAGTAGAAGTACAAAGTAGCATAACATGTAAAGTACCTCAACATTTTACTTAAATACAGTATTTGAGTATACTTAGTAACGTTACACCTCTGACAGGAAGTCAATGAAAGGTGGAGCTCTTGTGATTTCCCTTCAATGTAGATGCTAGGTGAAGGAACATATGGAGAAGATGACATTTATTATCTACTGTTTGTCTGCAAATGTCTCTGTGCTGCTGCTTTTCATTCAGATAGATTCACTTGTGGTATGTACACTATCTATTTGCCACTGTGGGAGAAGCCCCCCTATTTATCATAATATGATTATTCACCGTTGCACATTCAGCGATAAGTGAGATGGATGGCTCCTGTAGTTGTTGTGGTGACTCTCCCTCGATGACCTTGTGCACACTGAGCCAGAGACAGAGCTGCAGTGCTTTGATTCATCGGGCGGCTGTGCATTTGCAGCAGAAAAATGTATTGCCAGTTGCATTATTGTTAAAGTGAACATAATTGTACCGTACTGTGTTGCACTTGACAGCTGTTTCACATCCCTCACACCATGTTGAGTTAAGAAGCAAGCGGAAGAATGATGGAATCAGATTTGCTCTGCTTTAATACGAGGATATGAAATCGTTGCCTATCATTAAGGCGGTATTGCATCAGCTAAATGTTCATAATCCATCTCCTCTCACGCTTATGTGCTCCCATTCTTCGGAAAACGGCCGTCCATTCTGCTCCAAACAGTCCCTCTGCGTTCTCTGTAAATAAGCAGGATGAATGGCGGGAAATGGCAGCGTGTTGTAATTAGGACCGTCTGTGTGCTACCATGCAGCTGCCGAGGGGGAAATTGATATTTATTTGGTTTTTTGAAGTCCCTGCACAGTTGCAATCTCAGGTTATTAACGATTGATGATTAGAAGTGTCGCAGCCGCTCCCCACTGAGTGTGTGCTGCAGATGAGATTGTCATTGCAGGGAGGTTGTAATGAAATACATGCTTCAGAAAGCAAACCTTTGATGAATTGTAAACGCTCCGCTGCTATGTGACCTGGGGAGTTTATCTAAAATAAAACAAACTGTTGAATTTCTAAAAGTAGGGAATGGGTAAAACTAACCTCCGCCTCCTGTAATTATAAAAATATAAGATTTGTCACATTAATATTTGATAGTACCTGCAGGTGGAGGGGTATCACATTTAATTTAATACATTTCAGAGTTATTGAAGGCTAAGTAAAAACATATTTTTCTGAGTTTTTGTATCCGTCTAGACGTGAGAAAAGGCCGCAGTCATTCTTAGCGCTTCACAGACCAGAGGCCAGGCAGAACGAGATTGAATCCACCTTTACATTGATATCACATCAACCACATCCTGAGCAAATCCATCCAGAACCTATTCATGCTCTGCGTTTCACTCTCTACCTCAAAAAGCCCCGATGCCGAGTGGTGCAGGAATGAGTCCTAAAAAACGGAAATTAGTTAGCATCCGGTTCCCTCGTGTCAAAATAAACTTTGGGTTAGATGCCTGAAATAAGGTCTGTGACATTTTCAAGTTTTTTTCAACAACATAAAAACACTGTAGAAAGTTTCTACAGTTGGCTATTTGTCAGAAAAATGGCAGTTTCTTTAGCTAAAATGCTGACACATTTCCTGGTTTTAGGACTCATTCATGCACTTTCTATTGCTTAAGGGCTCTTTGAGGAAGATAGTTATCAAGCAGAAGCATGAACTGGGAAAGAAGTTGCTAAATGAGACGGCTAAACGTCATCACGCCCAACATTAGCCACCTTTAGCTTAGCCGTGGTGAAGTCATGTGACCGTACTGTAGTTCCTTTATAGCCCAACATTAGCCACCTTTAGCTTAGCGGTGGTAACGTGAAGTCATGTGACCGTGCTGTAGTTCCTTCATAGCCCAACATTAGCCGCCTTTAGCTTAGCGGTAGTGACGTGAAGTCATGTGACCGTGCTGTAGTTCCTTCATAGCCCAACATTAGCCACCTTTAGCTTAGCGGTGGTGACGTGAAGTCATGTGACCGTGCTGTAGTTCCTTCATAGCCCAACATTAGCCGCCTTTAGCTTAGCGGTGGTGACGTGAAGTCATGTGACCGTGCTGTAGTTCCTTCATAGCCCAACATTAGCCGCCTTTAGCTTAGTGGTGGTGACGTGAAGTCATGTGACCGTGCTATAACGTTAACTTTTTACTTCTGGATTGAATTTACGCTTCAAAAATCATAAAAGTTAGGGTTATAGCCTACTGAACAAAAGATGTAAGTATTATGAACGTTTATTTTCTGCAATAATTCAGAATCCAATGGAAAAATACCATTGCCTTTTTGTGG